AAACCGAGATGGAGGGTCGGTCGCAGAACGAGGAGCAATGCGATATCGTTTGCGCTTGGTGAATTGCTAAGAGATGGCCAAGCGCATCAGGTGGTTCGATGGGCCTTTCAGCGCTCAGTTGGGCGAGGTCCGAAACGGTGGACTGGTCAGCGGCGTCGCGGCAGATTCGTCTGGCGTTAGATTGCAAATCCCTGGCGCCGCAGCTGCGTCGCAGAGCCCTCGGCTGAATGTTGCTCATCTTTTGTCGGGCGTTAGATCGCGAGTCCCGGGCGTCGCAGCTCCTGCGCAGCGCTCCGGGGTAAGCGTCGCCGGCGTTGCCGCCATCAGCTCGCGTGGCCCGGGGGGTGCGCTTCCCGGCATCGAGCGGGGCAGCTGCGAGCGTTGCGACGGCGTCGACGGCGGCGCCGACGCCTCGCGCGGCCTGGCAAGTTTGTTCTCCAGGAGCTAGCGGAGCAGTGGTGGGTGGGGCAGCTAGTGGGTCGTCTGCGCCCATGGCGCCGTCGTCAGTCCGCGCGGTCTGGGAGGCGCGCCCCCCAAGAGCGAGCGCGGCAGCGGTGGCCGGCGCGACGGCGTCGACAGTGGCGTCGACGGCCCACGCGGCCCGGGAAGCGCGTTCTCCGGGGATGAGCGGAGGTGGCGGAGCAACTCGTAGATCGCCAACTGCGGCGGCGCTGTCGTCAGCTCGCGCGGCCCGAGAATTCGTTTCCCCTGGAGGGGGCGGTCTGGCTTTGCATGGGGGCGTTATTTCGAGCGTCTCTAATGGCGGGGCCGACGGCAGGGCGGCGCCCGCCTGACAGTGCCTGCGTCCCGCGGATCGAGCAACGGGGCGGATCGGCGGCCAGCTCTGCCCGCGGAGGCGCGGCGGCCCCTGGACAGAAGCATTCCGCGAAAGGGGCAGGGCGAGGGCCCGATCAAAGTCATTGACCAGTCAGAGCAGTCGCATATCTGAAGCAGGGGCAGGCGGATGGTGGGCGCCGCCCACCTTGCAAATATGGTTGGTGCAGCGACCTTGGCCCGCGACAAGTCGGGCCAAGAGACGGCGCAGTTTTCGAGGCTGGCCTTTTCATGTGGCTAGGCGACCCCGAAGCTGGAGGTCAAGATGGAAGTGGCCATTGCCGCGGCGCGCATCGCCCAGGACATATCGCTCGCGAGATGCAGGAGTCTTTGTGGAAGTGTGCGCGGGGGGCTTTTTCGCCCCGGTGCTGGAATGGCGCGTCGTTTCGCCCGTCTGCGAGGGGTATCGGGCGCCCCGCCGGTGCTGGCAGTCGCCGAGCCCGAAAGGTGGAAGAATATCTGGCAGCTGCAAGGCGCGGGATGGCTGCCTCTTCCCAGCGATTCGGACAGGCGCGGGCAGCTGCCGCGCTTGCGCGGCGATGGTCTGCGAAGCGTTATTCTTCCTTTGCCCAGGTCGCTGGGCGCGGGCAAGTTCGAGCGCGACCTCGATTTTTCTGGCGCTGCAAACAGTGGCAATGCCGGCCGCGAGAGCAACTTTTCACCGAGCATTGCATGCTGCCGATGGCCAGCGGAGGCACGAGGCGGATTTCTCTGGATGCAGCGCCGAGGACATGAGGGCGCACATGGTGACCCATGGGCGCGGGGTGGGAAGGAACGCATCCACATCGTTTTGTGGAGGGCTCGGGGCGAACGTCGAGTGATCGCGCGTACCATGTCCACTTAGAAGCGGAATCTGCAGACGCTAGGAAGCAGCCTGCCATCATGGCGCTGGTCGACATGCGCAAAGCTTACGGAACTATCCGGCGGCCCTTGATCATGGAGGAGGCCCGAAGTTTGAAGTGCCTTGTGCGTCTCATGTGGATGATCTTGCAGACGCGCATGGTGCCCCGCGCGGTGCGCGCGTGCGTGAACGTTGGCAGCGTGCTACTTTCGCATGAGAGTATACTGGCTGGGTGTGCTCATGTGATTGGGGCACTCCGCGTGGTGATGTACAGACGGGCAGCGCGTGTGAGAGGTGCGAGACGGTGCGCGCGCGTGCTCATGGGTGCCACCGACATGTCATGGTGCGGGCCTGGCCCAAAAGGGGCGGACCTCTGCACTCGCGTTGGGAGATCTGTTGGCGACGCGGTGAAGCTCGGATTTGCGCTGACAGAAGTTCGAATGTTTCCAAGGCGGTCAGAGCTCAGCGGCGTTCTCCTTGCGAGGCAGATGCGCGGAGGTGAAGTCCAAACTGCGCATTCGGAACCTGGGGCGCGCGTTGCCCGGCGCCCGGCGCACGAGTGTCACGCGCGCAGCAGAAGGACACCATTAAGGTTCTCATGCGCAGGAGGAGGGCATGGCAACAGAGGGATGTGGTGCACGCGGCGTTGTGGCGCGCGGGATTGCTGCCGTCGGCTGGCCGCGGCGCGGTGGTTAGCGGCGCCGCAGTCGCGGTGCTCGAGAAGTAGCGAGCATGCTTTTGCGGCGTGGTCGGAGCAAACAGGAATGCTTCATTCGCGCTCTGTCTCTTCTGTTCAACAAGGTGGCCACGTGGGCCCCACCTTTGATTGCGCGACCTTGCTGGTCAAGAAAGATTCGAGCTCCGCGCGGGGTGATCTTGTTCTCACGTCGAAGGCGCACCATGCTTTGAATCGCGTTGCGGATAGGATTGCTGGCGCCAAGCCTACTTGGTGGATGACGAGGGGCCCAGCGCCCTCGGCGCGGCTCGCCCTGCATAGGATCGGTTGGAGGGCGCTCAGCCCGACCGATTCTGAGGACGACCGTGGGCACTTGCACTCGTCGTCCCAGGTGGCGCCCCGAGACTTGGAGGGCAGGTTGGTCCAGTCCATCTACCGGCTGCAGGTATTGCGACTGCGTGGGCGCCTGCCTGAGAGCTCACGTGGCGCAACGCTCAGAGGAAAACAGTGCCCAATCCATTTTGTTGTGTTCAGGTCTCTTCGATGTGCGGGCGTTGGCCGGGTGGTCTTCTATGCCCAGACGGCCTTCGACTCGGGTCAGCCAAGTCTGGGGAATGCATTCGCGTGGCGGTCGCCAGTGCACTCTTGTCCATCAGTGGGCCTGCTGCGAGAAGCTGCTGGAAGCATCTGACGCGTTGCCCGAACCCATCCCAGAGGACGCGATCCAGTTCAGGGAACGTCGACGCGAGCTGGTGGATTAGAAATGCGGCGGCTGCGAGGCCTTCGATTTCATGCAGTGCGGCTTCTCGCAGGGGCCGCGGCGGCCGCGGGGGCCAGCCGCGGAGGCAGACGTGCGCGAGTGGGGCGGCCCCAGTGGCGCATGAGTCCCCGTGGTCTACGCGGGCTCCGCAATAACTGCTCTACGCTCGCCCTGCGAGACGCGGGGTGGGCCGGGCCGTCGCCCAGTTGTGTGCTGAGGCGGCTTGGCGAGGTCGCGCCCGGTACGGCCGCGTTCCCGGCGTCGAGCAAACGGTGATGCTAGGGCGAATGAGACGCGGGCTTGATGGCCCTCAAAGTTATGTCGAGGCCAGGCAGGGTTGCGTCGCAGCGCCCCAGCTTCGTCGAGGAGGCAAAGGAGTGGTCGCCTTCGCTCGCGGCAGCCACGTCGCAGCGTGCGTCGGCATGGATAGCTAGGCGTGCCCTCGCGGCGTTGACAAATGTCAGTCCGGGTGGGTCCCTGCTCATATAGAGTCCCGCGAGCACGTTGCTAACGGAGTCCGTCTGGCGCACTCTGCGGGACATGCGCGGGCGCACCTCTTCGCATTATGCGGGGCGGTCGAGATCGGGGTGGCGGACGTCATGGGTGACAACCAAGGGTGCCCGTTGCAGGTCGACGCCGCCACTGCGCGCCGCCTCGCGCCACTCGTCTCGAGGGCGGCGCGCTTGTACTGGGAGGTGGGGCCTGGCCCGCATCCGCAAACAAAAATAAACAACAAATAGTGCTCCCCCGCTTTCGATCGCGCCGCATGGCCCGGATCTCCGACGTCGTGGTTTTTGTTTACAACGTTGACCCCAGAGGTCTGGGCGGGTTTCCCGGGGCTGGCTTTTCATCTTGAGTGGCAGTTTTTATTTGTTTTTTGTGTTTGTTTTTTTCGTTTTGTTTTTGTTTCTGTTTTTTGTTTGTTTTTGCTTCGGGAAGGGGAGGTCGCCGTTTTTTTTTTTTGTGTGTGTTTTTTTTTTGGGGGGGGGGAGGTCGCCGTTTTTTTGTTTTTTTGTTTCTTCTTCTTCTTCTCCCATTCGCGCGAGGGGATCTGATGCGAGCGAGCGAGGCCCCTGTGCGTCGCAGGACTCGTGCGCATGAGGCACTGCCTCCCCAGAGCCACCGGGCCCCGTTTGCCGCGCCGCGCCCCGGGGGGCCGCCTGCCCTCGGGGACGAGCGCAAGACGTCGCCTCTTGGGGCCCTGCTGGCATTCGTGATCTGCGCGGCCCTTGCAGTCTGCGCGCCGGCAAGTATCTTAAAAGTACCCATACCGCAACCGTTCCCTCGTTTTCCCCCTCTTGTGCCTGATTTGGGGCACCTCGTCGCCACTGGTGGATTCGTCTCGAGATCTGGTCAAAACGCACCCCAGGAGTGGTCTGTGGAACAGCGGTATCGGTACCCTTTTGTTTCCGCAAAGCAGGACTTCCTCGGGCCTCCCAAGAATCGCGAGACGGTCTCTAATGCCAAACGTAGTGTGATGCGTTCAACGTCTGGGGTGGGGTCCGAGACTGGGAACCCGATCCCACCGTGAATTCCCGGAACCACCCCTCTTTCGGTGCTCTCCGCTCCTGGCTGACGACGCCCCCTGTCTGTGGATTTGGCCTTGGTGGTCTGGCTTTTCCTGCTTAGTCGACGTTTGGGTTGATCTTCCGGCGCCCTTGAATTACCCAGGGGCGCCAGCAAATCGGCCCCCTCCCGTTCCGTCGGGCTCGGTTGCGGCACGTGGACTCGGACCACCCCCTCCTCAATTGTTGTTGTTTCTCTTCCTCCTCTTTGCCTCCGTTTCTTCACCCCTCCATCCGTCATTCCTGGCAGTTTCGCCTTTCTCCCGTCGTCTCCCCACCTACCAGGGCGAGCGGCGGAACTCCTCCCGTGCCGGCGTGGTGGAGATGATGGAGTACGTGAGCGGCGGCCTTGCCAAGAGATCGCCAGCAGCAGGAGAAGGAGGAAAGGGGGCAGGAGGAAGGAGGAGGAGAAGGCCGGCAGATCCCTCCCCCCTGGGAGTGGGCGTTTCATTGGGGTGGCGAGCCGTTCCTGTGGAGCCGCCCTGTCTGATGGGCGGCGTGTGCTTGTGCCAGCGCCCGATCGCAGAGTGCCGCGCGGGACAGACCGGCGCGCGCCCAGAGGAGTTGGAGGAGGTGGAGGAGGAGGAGGAGAGGGAAGAGGAAGACTAGGTCAAACCCAATATTCAATAGGAAGAGGAGGAGGACTAGGTCAAGAGGAGGAGGAGGAGGAAGAGGAGGACTAGGTCAAGAGGAGGAAGAGGAGGACTATCAAGCAGTGGCGAAGCGTCCCGGCTCGCCTATAGCCCCACCAAGCAATGTTCAAAGAACCTTTTTGTGGTTCCCGCGACATGTTTTTAAACCATTTCTGGCGGAGTCTGTCTTGTTTTAGCACATCGGGCTTATGCTCTAAGAACATGGTTTTTGTTATTAGAATATTTTTGGTTTCTCAGAGCATTTCGTGGTAGGACTATAGGAATGCTGGGAGGGTCGGTCTTTGCTCAAGACTAGGTCAAACCCAATATTCATAAGCGATGTTGCGCTACACCTTTCCGTCCGAAGTCCTATTCCGCACACGTCTCCTATTCCGCACACGTCTCTGCACAGTAGATTTTTGACGTCAAGAAGCGCCCTTTTGAAAGGCCAGTACCCCATGCTTCTGCCATTCAGGCCAGAGCCCCGCTTTGAAGAGGAATTGCTTTGCATCCTCCCAGCGAGTTTCTTGGAGTGCGAGAAGGTATTTTCATACAGCTTCACGAGGCGACCAGCGAGATCCCCGTTTTGAAAGCGGGCCGCCCCCGCATCCGTGTGAATGCTGCACTGCTGCCCTTTCTGGTCATGAACTTTGAATTCGAGGACCTCTCAAGGGATACAGTGGAAGCCCATGCCAAGAAACACCATGCTTGCCTTCAGGGAGCCCAGGGATTCTACGATGGAAAGCGTAACGTCCCCATACCAAGAGTCTGTGTAAGCCCTGGTGTCTCAGGGTTTCAAGCAGTCGCGAAGCGTCCTGACGCGCCTATAGCCTATAGCCCTATCAAACAATGTTGTAAGAACCTTTTGCGGTTCCCACGAAATGTTCTTAGAACATTCCTGGTTGAGATTGTCTTGTTTTAACACATCGGGCTTATGTTCTAAGAACATTGCTTTTGTTCTTCGAGCATATTTGGGGTTCTAAGAACAGATCGTGGTAGGACTCTAGGAATGCCGGGAGGGTCGGTCCCTTCTGAAGTTTTGCCGATTGGCGCGGGCCCTCGCACCCCTCCCCCTCCCCCACCCCCGTGGAGAAGATCTCGGCCGTTTCTGGCGCCTGTTTCGAGCAGGCGTGGGGTCCCTCCCCCACAGGACGCACTGTTGCAGACAGTCGCGCTGAGCAGAGGTCTAGAGCCAGACCCCCCCTTCCTCCCCCCCCTTTCCGCTCAATGTCGAAACGCCGACTAAGAAAACGCTCACGTGTGAAGGAGCCGTCGAGCCGTCGTTCATCCTCGCATCTGTTGCCACTTTTCAGATCGAATGTTCGGGCGGGGCGAGGACGAGGGCAAATCCTTTCCAGAGCGCTCTGGAACGCGAGCGATCCGGAACGCTCTTCAGAAGACCGCGGCGCCCGAGACATCCTCCATAACCGCCGGATCTCAGAGATTCTCGATTTATACCTATACGACCACCCTACGGGTGATAAGGAGGTTGGGGGGGTGGAGGGGCCGAGCAATGGGCAACAGTGGTGATTGTTCTCCTGACGATGCCAGTGGAGATTTTTTTGTCGGAGGCCTGCTGAAGCCCCTCTTGTCGCCACTGACTAAATCGCTTCAAAATATTGCTCAACGGCTGCCCTTCGGCGGTCGAGACCGATGTACCGCCATCATAGCTCTTTTTCCCTTGCTCAAACAGCGCAAACGGCTGGAAGCCCAGCGACAGCTCATTCGCTGTCTCATTCGGTCTCACTACCGATCTCACAATCGATATCACTATCGACGTCATCATCATCATCATCATCATCATCATCATCATCATCATCATCATCATCATCATCATCATCATCATCATCATCATCATCATCATCATCATCATCATCATCATCATCATCAACATCAACATCATCATCATCATCATCATCATCATCATCGCCATCATCAACATCATCTCATCATCATCATTACCATCATCATCATCATAATCATCATCATAATCATCATCAACATCATCGTCGGGACACCGACGGGACACCGACGGGACACCGGCAGGACACCGGCGGGACACCGGCGGGACACCGGCGGGACACCGCGCGCCACCGGCCGCCCGGCGGAGAATCATTTGGTCCGGCCGCGCCTCAGCCACAAGAGACTTTCCTCTCGCCCGCCCACGCAGCTTCGCCTCGCCCGCACGGCACGCACGAACACGAAACCGAAATCGATTTCCTGGTAGGGGGGCTCTCCGTTCCACTTCGATCTTACCCCCCAACCTCCGATCTTCATCTCAGAGATTCTCGATTTATATCTTCACCCGAATGTATGTCCTCGTCCTGGCTTCGTCCTAATGTGCGCGGTGCGTCGACAAGAACACCATTTTGTAAACCACCCCTTCCATCTTCGATGCTGTTGCACAGTTTCAAGACGAGTGCGCGCGGTACAAGGGCGAGAGCCCAACTTTTTAAACCGCCCCCTCCATCCGTGTAGCCGTTGCGATGTTGATGTTCCAGGGTCATGGGCGGTGAGAAAGTTTTAGGCGAAACACCCGGTCCGCCCTGCCAACACGTCTAAGGGTGCGACAGGTAGGAGATACGCATGCGGACGCAAGATGGAGGAAAAGGAACACGAGGAAAGGTAGCGGGAGGATAAGTCAGAGGAGGGAGGGGGAGGAGGTCCGTCCCTCGCGCTCGCCCGCACGGTCGGCCATCCCGTCGCCTCCGCCATCCCAGGAGTGCCCAAGCGCCCCAGGGGGGAGATGCCCCAGTGGGCCGTCGCGGGTGCCGTGGCCTCCGCCACGGCATGCGCCGAGGGAGCTGCCCCCAGGAGTTCGCGGTGGTCTCCCCCCCCCCCCGGGACGCTCACGCAGGGCGAGGGTGCTCGTCTGCTCCGGGGCGCGGCTGGCCTCGCCTGGCTGCCCACCCCGGCTCTCATTTTTCAGCCTCAGCCTCGACCCCCTCACGGGCCTCGCCCTCGCCCTCGTCCCTCGCCCTCCTGCCGCCCTGCGTCCCTCGCCCTGCGTCCCGCGCCCTCGTCCCTCGCCCTCGCCCCTCGCCTCGCGGTGCTCACCTGCGCCCTCGCCCTGCGGCCGCCCTCGTCCGTTCTCGCCGCCGGCGTCAGCGTCAGAGTCACCTCCGCCTCGCCCCCTCGCCCTCGCCGCTTCCCGCGCTGCCCTCCCCGCATCCCACTCTGCACCTCCGCTCCGCCGTTCCCGGCGTCGTGGAAGGTCAGCTGAAGCCTTCCTCCCCCCTGCTCCGGTCGAGACTAGCACATGAGACAAGCATACATTCCATACACTTCTCGCGTAATCCCACCAGCCCATCCAAGAAGGATGCCCAGGTGTTGCCCTGATGAGGGATGTGGAGTAGCATGCAGTATAATAAATGGCTGGGGAAGCCGGCATACCCCAAGAGGAGGAGGATGGAGAAGGGAGGAGCGAGAAGGAGGAGAAATGGGCGGAGAAGGAGGACTAATAATACTATTACTAACAACGCTACATATGAATCACATGATTTGTAATATGATTAATAATAATCGGATCACGAATCATAATAATAATACAAATCCAAGCGAGACTAATAGTACGAATAATTCTAAAACATAATCGTAATCATAATAATAAGACGACGAAGACGAATAACAATAATAATAATGAGAAAAAGACGAGACGTAACGATAATAATCAAACATAATAATACTGACACGAATCATGATACGACTCACGATAATAATAGTAATATATACTACTAATCACCCAGAGAAGCAATTCAGACCCCCCCCCCTCTCTGGCGAAAGTATAACGCACCCGGCACCCCAGAACGTTACCCTGGTACCTCGCACCTTTATGTGAACGCAGACGAGTTTGCTCGCCGAAACAAGCACACCGCCTGAGACATTCTTGCAATATTTTGGCTCTTATCCGCCATTACGGATCAAGCCGAGGGCCAAGACCTCAGTCAAGAGGCCTTGGCCCAGCTAAACAGAACAAATCCTCCTCCTCCTCAAGACTCCCTTACGGCACGGCAAACACGAACAACGACAATACTGCCAGCAATCAGACTTATATCTAGAAAAACAAGGCCAATAACACCAACACCACCAACATCAAAAGCACCAACAACGCAAACACCAACAAAAACAACATTAAGTCCCACGCAAGGGAGAGCCCAGCTTTGAAAAGGAACCGTCCGTGCCTACGATGGGGAGCGAATGGTTTTGGCGGTGCGGGTGCTAAGATAACGCGCCGTGCGTGGCGAGGGCGATATCCTCGGATGCACTACCCACACGACGGCCGGAAAAAACAATCTTTCACCAGGGTTGGTAATACAAATCGTATAGGACAAGGATGATGAAGATAATGAGGCCAGGCTCTTTTCCTGATTATTGTTATGATTATTATGATGATTATGGTTCGTATTCTTACTAGGTTTCTGATTGTGACTGTTATTATTATTGTTCTTCTTCTAATTATTATTAGTCTGAGTTTTCTGATTACTATTCGTATTTTTTGGATTATGATTCGTATCGTTGTTATTATTATTACTCCTATTATGACTCGTAGTATGTTTTTCTTACTCTCTACTATAAACAGTATTGATTTTTTTATGATTATTATTGTTCTCACTTTTCATTATTTGTATTATTATTGCGCTCCTTCCTATTATTATTGGTATCAATATTATTCGTAGTCTTATTATGGTTGATACTGTTATCCCTCTCCTTAAACTGATTATGATTCTGATTCGTATCATTATTTATCTATGTTTTTATTATTATTCTTACTGCTATTCTTACTCTTATCATTATCCTCATTCTTATTATCAGTTCCTTTCCTATTAGTATTGTCGTTAGTTTTATTATTCCTATTACTATTATTGTCACTATTCGTAGTCTTATCCTTAGTTGCGCTTTCATTTTGATTATTGGTCTTATTGTACTTCTGGTCTTTTTTGGCAAGCTGCCGTAATTATGTTGTGCGGGCGCGGTGCTAAGATAACGCGCCGCGCGTGGCGGGGGCGGTATCACGCGACGGACGGGAAACAACCCTTTTTCAACAGGGGCGGTAATACAAATCGTATAGGACAAGGATGGTGGAGATAAGGAACAGCTATTGTTCTTATTCTGATTCCGATTCTGAGTATTGTTACTATTATGCTTACTCTTATTACGAATTCTGATTAGTATTGTTCTTACAATTCGGATTATTACATGTACTACTACTCTTATTATTATCTCTCTTACTCTTATCATTATTCTTATGGTTCTTAGTGTTAGTATTCTTAGTATTATTATTACTCGTATTTCATTGTTTTCTCATTATTTTTCCAATTCCAATTGGCATATCACCCGAGCCAGGGCGCGGGAATTTGTTATGTTCGTTCATTTGCGTGGTGCGAACTATATCGTTCGGCGAAAGCCGCCCCCATACTTATTTAATTACGGTGCGGTGCTAATGATAACCCCGGGGATTCCTTAATAGCTTGATGAGGTTATCCAGAAGCCGAAGAAGGGGAGGATGAGGATGAGGAGGAGGAGGAGGAGGAGGAGCAGAAGGAGGAGGAGCAGAAGGAGGAGGAGGAGCAGAAGGGCGAGCAGAATGGCCAGAGGCCTCTTGGAGGCTTCTTGGGGCGTCTTGGGGGTCTCTTGGCGGTCCCTGGGGCCTCCTCGGAGCCTCTTGGGGCCTCTTTGGGGGCTGTTGAGGGGTCTCTTGGGGGCCGCTGGGCCGTGCAGGACTTGGGTTGGTGGCACCAGGGGATGGATGGTGAGTGGCCTGACGTACCCCCTCGGCCACCAAGTCAACGGCGGCGACGGCTCCCCAATCCCAAGGTCAGCCTTGCCTTGCACGAGGTGGAGCAGCGGGGCGCTTGCAGGTGAGTGTGTGTGTGTGTGTGTGTGTGTGCGCTGTGGCAAGAGAGCTGCCACGGCGCGCATGCGCAAGACACTGTGGGAAAGCGGAATGCAGGCCGCCGCCTTGGCGTTCCGTGGGGATGGTCGTCCCCGACGAGAACATCAGCTCGCTTGCAGTGCGGGTGAGCCCGGCGCGGGGCGAGAGGCAGAGGGCGGCCAGGTCGACGGCTACGAGCAGCACATCGTCAGGAGGTGCGGTGGTCGCGCTGGCCGTGGTTGCAGCAGCCGCAGCAGCGGGCAGCAGCAGCAGTGACGGCCCGAGCGGGCGGAGTGAGGACAGCAGCCGGGGCAGAAGGAGGTCCCGCTCGCCGAGGGCAGGCGATGAAGGGGCGCGTGTGCCACCTTCCCTGGCAGCACCGCCCTCAGAGCAGCAGGACGAGAGGCGGCAGGACCTCGTGCAGGTTTGCGGCCCGTGCGTGGTCTGCCGAACGCGGCGCAGAGGCGGGGCGGGCTCAGCAAGGCGTGCACGGGGCCCCTCCCGCCGGGGGGAGTGAGCGCTCAGGAGCGGCCTGGAAGCGCAAAAGGGGAGATGGCTTGCTGCGCGGGTAGCACCTGCAGACGGGGAGTCCGCTCCCGACGGTGCTGGAGCCAGTCCAGCGCGGCGCACGTCGTGGCTGAGGTCGAGGAGGTGACGGCCCACGTGCGGGAGTTTTGCTTGCAGGGCGACGTGGTCTGACCTCCGCGCGGCCTGCGCGGCGCGGGGGGGGGCCCTGGTGGAACCCGCCGAGGCCTCTGAGGGAGCAGAGAATTGTCTCTTGGGAGCGTCTTAGGGGCCTCTTGAGGCCGCTTGGGCATCTCTTGGGACCATCTTGGGCCCTCTTGGGGGTCTTGGAGGCCTTCTAGGAGACATCTTGGAGGAGATCGATCCAGGAGGGGGCGTGCTCAAGTAGCCTCGCCCCTCTGGAGCTACCGATGTCGCCTATTGAGGTCCTCTTTGGGAGCTCTTGGGCGCTGTCGGGGTCGTCTGGGGTCCATCTTGGGCCTGTCTCGGAACCCTCTTGGGCCGTCTTGGAGCCATCTGGAGGCCTCGGGGGCCCATCGGAAGCGAAAGGGCGAGTCGGCCACAATCGTTGATTTACCTTCTTTGGGCGTCCATGGGAGTTTCCGTGGCCGCTTGGAGCCATCCTGAGGCCTTCATGGGGCCTCTTGGAGGCATTTTGGAGCTCATCTTGAGCCAGCTTGGACCACCCTGCGCCATCTTGGAGGCCATCTTACATCATCTGGGGCCCTCTGGGAGCCCTCCCGGGGCAACCGCCTCCCAGAGGTGCCCCCGACAAGCCGCGCATCGTTCATTTGTTTCCATCGTTGTCGATCTGAGAGGGGGGGTGGGCTCAATTAGCGTCGTCCCTCTGGAGCCAACAACGATGCCTTCCGGGCCCTCCTGGGGCGCCCTGGGGGCGTTTGGGGTGGCGCTCTCGGGGAAGTTTCGGGGCCATTTCGGGTCTGTCTTGGGGCCCTCTTGGAGACTTTCTGATACCCCGGAAGAGAAATGGCGAGACGGCTAATATCTGTGATTATCCAGAGTTTTTGAAGGATGTCGGCCTCTTGGGAGCGTCCTGGAGAAGACCCTAGCCCACTCCGGCCCGTCTTGGAGGAATCTTGGGACTTCTTGGAACATTTTGGCAGCCATATTCAGCCATATTGCGCTAGCTTGAACCATTTTGGAGTGCATGTTGGTCTCTCCGAGGCCCTCTTGGAGTCATATTGGGCCATCTTGAACGCTCTAACGACCCGCGGGGCGCTCCATCCAAGGGGGGGGGGGAAGGGGGATAGGTAAACTCTCCGACGGGGAAGAAGAGGGGTTGGACAAACATCTCGCTAAACCATTCCGCCCTAGAGGACTGGTGAGATTTTGGGGCATCCGCGCCAATTCTTGGTTCGGCGCTCGGCGCCTATCCCAGTGGCGGGGGGTCCGGCGCCGATCCAAAAAGTCCGCGTGGACCCCGGAACGCCCAAGCCCTTGCAAGCGGGGCGTTAGTAACCGGGCCGGTAGCTAAGGGTGCGTTTTCAATGGTGCTGTCAAAATCAACAATTGATTTGCCACGCGCAAGTGTGAGGTACCCCCCCCGCCCAGACGTGTGACGATTAATCGACGCTTTTGTCGCCCCGATTCAGCACGCACTAGTTCGAGGTGAATGTCCTGTCGCCCCGCTGTCGTTTCAAGAGGCCCCTTAGCTACCGCCCCGTTTCCTGACGCCCCGTGTGCAGGGTCTTTGGCGAAATCGTATCTTCATCGCCTGCGGCCCTTATGTCGGAGGAGGTTTCCAGCGGGTTTCGGGAGGCGACGAGAGTCCTGGGAAAGGGCCTGATGCGCCTAGAGCCCACCATCCGTCCTCCTCCTCTTCCTCCTCCTCCCATCCCCCTCCTCCTCCCCCTCCCCCTCCTCCCCTTCCCCCTCCTCTTCCTCTTCCGCCTCCACCTCCTCCTATTCGATCTTTGATGTTCCTAGTCCCCCCCCATATTGGTCGCCTCGCTACCCATACGACCGCCCTGCGGATGATTAGGAGATTCGGTGGTGAAGATCCAACAGTTCATCCAATCGATTTCACTATCGACCCCACGATCGATCTCACTATCGATCTCACTATCGATGGCCTCGTATTGGTCACCCGGTTGCCGCTGTCTCTGGTGTTCCACGAAGCGCAGCCGTCCCCCCATTCCCCCCCCCCGCCGCCTTCGCAGGCGGGAGGGGGCGGGGGGGGGGTGCGGATAGCTTCCCCGCAGTCCTCCTCCTTCCCCTTTTTGTTTCTTACTTGATTCATTCTCTCCTCCTCACTCCTTCTTTCTGAAACTCCTAACATGAAAAAAGGCAGAAAGGAATGAAGGAAGGAAGGGGAAGGAAATAATGAAGGAAGGAGGAGGAGGAGGAAGAAAGGAAGGAATGGCAGGAAGGAAGGAAGGACGGAAAGAAGGAGGGAAGGAAGGGAAGGAAGGAAAGGAAGGAAGGGATGAAGGTCAGAAGGGAGGAAGGAAGGAAGAGGAGGAGGAGGAGGAGGAGAAGGAAAACCTCCTCCCCCCCCTCCTCCTCCTCCTCCTCCTCCTCCTCCTCCTCTTCCTTCCTTCCTTCCTTCCTTCCTTCCTTCCTTCCTTCCTTCCTTCCTTCCTTCCTTCCTCCTCCGCTCTTCTCCTCGTGCGCCGGGGCGGGGCGCGGCCTCCGCCCCGGGGGCGGAGCGCGGCCGCGTCGAGGTGAGGGGGCTCGGCCTGGACCCGCTGGCGGAGCCGGACCTGCTGTGGGCGGCGGCTCGGGGCGATCGAAGCGGCCCAGGGCCAGAGGCCCAGAGGTGGACACCAGCACCGCTGTCTCAAGCAGTGGCGAAGCGTGTTGGCTCGCTTATAGCCCTACCAAACAGTGCTCAAAGAACTTGTTGTGGTTTCTTTTTTAAGCACGTCGGGTTCATGATCCAAGAACACTGTTTTTGTTCTTCGAACGTTTTTGGGTTCTAAGAACATTTCGTGGTATGACTGTAGGAATGCCGGGACGGTCGGTCCCTGCTCAAGTGTCGGCGGTGTGCCTCGGGTTGTGATGCTCCAACCTACTGTAGCCTTGATCACCAGGAAGAATTTCCAGCGGCCAAGAAAAGTACCGAAGCTCAAGGGTCTTCACGTGTCGGGCCCTGGGAGGCACTCGCCCGACACTGCTTCGACGGTGTTTCGACACTCTTTTGACACTTTCGGGGTGCTCGAAATCATTTCTAGGATGCGGTCCTTGAGTAGGATGGTGTCAACATAAGCCTCGAGCGCGTTTCACTATTGCTTGGGCCATGGCGCGCGTTATGGCCCCCGCCCCCCCGCTCCGTGGAGGGGAAAGGTGTGACTATTCTAGGGGCTTTATCTTTCTTTCTTTCTCTCTCGCTCTCTCTATTTCTCTATGTCTCCATCTCTCTCTCTCTCTATTGTTTATATATATATCTCTCTCTCTCTCTCTCTCTGGATGGCCCCATTTCTAATATAATCCTACGAATTCCTATCAAGGGTAAAGCCACCCGTGCTAAAAACTCATCGGTCGTTGAAGTAGATATTTTTGGATTCCCAGATTCCAGTTTACTTTAAGCGCCTTCCTACTTCAATGATCGAGTGGCTGCACCGTTTCCCTCCCGATGGGTATCTGCGGTGTGCCTCGAGCGTGTTTCTTTGTTGCTTGGGCCATGACGCGCGTTATGGCCCCCGCCCCCCCCATAACGTAGCGCTCTGGCCCCCAGTGCGCCCCTGGCACTGCCGCCTTGCGCGTAGGGATCCGCATAGGAACCCGAATGGGGATCCGCATAGGCATCCCCCGGCTTCCCCCCGCCCCCATAACGCCCGCTGTCTCCGCGAATCAAGAAACCCGCTCCTCCACCGAGGGAAGATGACCCCGATCTCGGTGATGGGGGTAAGATTCGGGCCTCCCGGGTGGCCGAAGGGCTGCCACCGGCACCAGCATTCAGGACCCCCTTCCTCCCAGCAGAGGCAGCCCCCTGTCTGGGTGCCGGTGCCCATGTCCGAGCTTCCTGCAGGCCCCCTCGCGTCGTGAGACAAGAAGGCACGACGGGAGGGTGTTCGCTGCAGCCAGACCGAGGTACGAGATCGAGGTCGGCTCGGGGAGAGTGCCCTATAGTCGATGGGCCAACATGTCACCACCACTACCATGGGTTGGACGGGGGGACGGAAAGAATTCGGAAGACCTCTTCCTCTTCCTCCTCCTCCTCTTCCTCCTCCTCCTCCTCCTCTTCCTCCTCCTCATCCTCCTCCTCTTCCTCCTCCTCCTCCTCCTCCGTAGCCATTTTGGCTCAAGCCACTTTGGTTCAAGCGTTCGCACGGCGTCGCCTCGTGGCCCCGTCGTTCGGCGTCGGTGCGGCCGCGGCTTGGCGCCCCGAGGAGCGTGCGCGCCTTCGCCCGCCGCTGCCGCGCTCGTGGGGAAGCGGCCGTGCGGGGCGCCGTCCCGGGAGGAGCGCCGCAGCGCACCGAGGCCGCCGTGGCCGGGCCGGCCGTCTCCCCGCCGTGCTGCTCAGGCTCGGCGAGGCGCCACCCGCACGGCCTGCCGCTGGAGCTGCTGCGGACGGACCTCCTGGGCCACATCCTGAGGGGGCCACATGCGAGCCCTGCCCCTGCCCCGCACGATTTCTGAGGGGGAGGGCGGGGTGCACTTCGCTCGGGAGCTCCCGAGCGAAGGGACCCCCACCCTCCCCCTCAGAAATCGTGAGGGGTAGGGGTAGGGTTCGCATGTGGCCCCTCGTCCTGCCCGTGCTGACGCGGTGACTCCCGATCCTGCGGTTCGCGCTGCATGGCGTCGGCGCCGCCAGCCAGCGCTGGGCGGCTCGGAAGGCGGCCGCGGCAGCCCCCGCTGCGGCGACCCCCGCTGCGGCGGTGGCTGGCGCTTCGTCGGCGGCTGGGGTTGCTGGCGCGGGCCTCGCGCTCGTGTAGGTGGCCGAGGTGGATGCCGACCCCTCCGACGACGGAATGACTGACGACGAATGGGCCGACGGCCTTCGTGCTGGAGCTGCCACGGCTGGTGCGGACTGTCCGCCGTCGGCGGAGGCTGGGGATGGCCGTGGCGGCGGTGGCGGTGCGGCGGCGCCTGCTGCTGGCGCTGGCTCTGGGGAGGCTGGCGGGGCGGAGACCCGTTTCTGCGGGCCTCGCGGCGATCGCTGAGGCGCGCGGAGTCTCGTTCGAGCAGGCCTTCCTCGTCGTCGCGTAATCTCGTTCGAGCAGGCCTTCCTCGTCGTCAAGTGCGCGGCGTTCGGGTCCCAGGGCCACCAGCTGCAGCGCGGGGACGCGGGGGGGTGGGTGGGGGTGGCAGTGGGGGACGGTGAGGGCCCAGCCGTCTCGCGGCTGGCCCGCCGTACCTCCCCCCCTCCCTGCACATGGTGGCGCTCGCCGTCACGCTCGTGTTCGACGGCACGGTCGGGGCCCTGGCATCTCAGGTGGTGTACAGGGCCCCGTGCGCGCGGGCTCGCCCGTGCTTCCGCCGTTCGGAGGCCCAGCGGGGCTGGTCCAGCGGCACCCATGGCGCAGCTCCGCCCGACGCACGATGCGTCGGGCGGGGTCGGTAGCCAGCTGCAAACTCCGCGCTCGGCGGAGCGCGACCCTCCTCCTTCTCCTCCTCCTCCTCTCCTCCCTCCTCTCTCCTCCTCCTCCTCCTCCTCCTCCTCCTCCTCCTCCTTCTCCTCCTCCCCTCCTCCTCCTCCTCCTCCTCCTCCTCCTCCTCCTCCTCCTCCTCCTCCTTCCTCCTCCTCCTCCTCCTCCTCCCCCTTCTCCTCCTCCTCCTCCTCCTCCTCCCTCTCCCACCCAATGGCAGTGGTGGTGGAACATCGGCCCATCACTCATGTTCTCTGTGTTTCTGTTGGATGCTCTCGTGCATCTTGGGGAGGGCACCCTCGGATGTTGTGCCTGTTTTGGCCGACGGAGGGTCTTACGTTTTTGATCGATGTTATCCTCGCCCAGGTCCGACTGTATTTTCGGCCTCTGGGGGCCCCCACCTGGCCGCGGGACCGTGAAAAGGTTATACATGATGACATGATAAAATACTGGCCACGGAGAATGGGTCGAGTCCTCGGGGCTTCGTTTCACCTTTTCGGGCCTCCTGGGAGGCCCTCGTCGCCACCGCTGGAGTGGCCTCGAAATTTTGGTCAGAACGCACCCCGGGAGAGAACGGGCGGGGCTAGGACGAGGGTCGATCCTTTCCAGAGCGTTCGGAATAGCTTTGAAAGCCACGCGGAGAGGGGGTATGGGGGGAGGCTTCTTATGGGCACCCTTGCTTCTCAGCGGGCCTTGTATGTATATGTAGAGCCAGCGCCTTCTGATTCTCGACTCCCCTCACGCGAATTCATCCTCGTCTTGGCTTCGTCTTGCCAGTGGGTACAATGTCCAACATCAGTTCTGGTTTATTATGAACAGGGTTCGCTGTCGGCGTTGCCGCGGTCTCTGTCCATTCGAGACAGGGCCACCTGCCTAACGGCGGCCGCCAGCCACTGTTGGTTTTGGACAGCATTTGTTGTTGCGTACAATGACATTGTACGCAACAACGAATGTTGTCGTTGAGCGTTGAAAGACATTGCATGTTTTTTGTTCCGAAAAGCATTTGATATTTTTCGTATCCGCTGCGGGGGTCCAAAGGCGGACGGGGCCTTCAACGCGGAGCTGCCGCCCGGCTGGAGCGAGCACCAGGACGCCGGGGCAGTGCTCTCAGAGGGGGGAACACCTGCCGATGCCACTGCCCTTCCCTCGTCCCCAGAGCCGCACCCTTGGGCAAGCACGGTTGGAGCCAAAATGGCCACAGGAAGGTGGCGCGCATGAGTGGAAGAGGCAGGACAGGAGGAGGACAAGGAGACGGACAAGGAGGAGGGGAAAGGAACAAACAGGAGGCGGTGGAGAAGGGGGAGGAGGAGGAGGAGGAGGAGGAGGAGGAGGAGGAGGAGGAGGAGGAGGAGGAGGTGGGGAGAGGAGAGGAGGAGGAGGAGGAGGATCAGGAGGAGGAGGGAGGAGGAGGAGGAGGAGGAGGAGGAGGAGCACGAGGAGGAGGTGGAGAAGGGGGATAAGGATGAAGAGGATCAGGAGGAGGAAAAGGAGCAAAAGGAGGAGGAGGAGGAGGAGGAGAAATAGGAGGAGGAGGTGGAGGAGGAGGAGGAGGAAGACGCCGTATTCGCCGAAGATCTGGACAGAGCGCCCCTCCCCCTGGGAGAGGTCCGCGGAGGAGCGGTGGGCGAGGGAAGGGGGGGAGAGAGATCGAGGGGAGAAGGGGAAGGAACGCGGCGCCAAAGATGCCCTGCAGGGGCCCCGGAGGTGCACGGGGGCCAAACACGGACACTGAGATGCACAATTCGATCGCCGATCCCCAGGAAGGTATTGGAAAATGTGGGAAGTGGGTAGGGGGGAAGACGAAAACCAAGAGAGCATGAGAAAAGATGGGGGAATCTTGGGATTTGTGTGTATTTATTGGTGTGTCCCTGGGCCCCTTGACGGGTCAACAGGGGAGGCTGGCGGAGAAAAAGGAGGAGGAGGAGGAGGAGGAGGAGGAGGAGAAGGCCGAGGTGCAGGAGGCGGAGGTGGTTCTCCTCCTACTTCTCCTCCTCCTCCTCTTCCTCCTCCTCCTCCTCCTCCTCCTCCTTCGTCCTCGATCCTCCTCCTCCTCCTCCTCCTCCTCCTCCCCGCTCTTTCTCTCGATCCTCCTTCCTCCTCCTCTCCTCCTTCCTCCTCCTCCTTCCTCTTCCTCCCTCCTCCTCCTCCTCCTCCTCCTCCTCCTCCTCCTCCTCCTCCTCCTCCTCCTCCTCCTCCTCCTCCTCCTCCTCCTCCTCCTCCTCCTCCCCCCCAGAGGCCTAGCCGCTCGGTTCGACATCGAGAGCGGGGCCACCAGCCCCGCCTTCGGCGCAGGCGGTGCGCGCAGGGGAGCACGGGCCCCGGCGCTGCGAGCTAGGCCCCGCGCGGGCGAGGAACACGAGCCTCGCACGCGCGGGGCGCCCCCCCCCCCCCCATCATGGAACACGATCCTGCGGGGAGAGCAATCGAACGAATCCTCCTCCTCCTCCTCCTCCTCCTCCTCCTCCTCCTCCTCCTCCTGCTCCTCCTGGTCCTCCTCCTCATTTTCCTCTTCCTCTTCCTCCCCTTCCTCATCCACCTTCCCCTCCTCTTCCCTTGCGTTGTGTGTGTGTGTGGCTACCTCCTGCTATCCTGCAGCTTGTGAGAGCTGCCCATCTACTCTGCCTCCTTCGGAGGAGGATGAGGGGCGGAGTGCGCGAGGCGGCCGTCACCGGCAGAACCGTTTCGCAGACCGAGGAGACTCACCCTCTCCATCAGCTCTCTGCCCCCCTCCAGGGCATCCCTCCCCCCCCCTCCCTCGGCATCGCCCCCCTCCTCGTCCTCGTCGTCCCCGCACCCCTCCTCGTCCCCAGCCCCCTCCCCCCGTCCTGCCATGGGGGCCAGCTCCCGTGGCGGCCGAGGAGGCGGAGGAGCAGGAAGGCTCTCCTTCTCGAGGCTCCGTCCTGGGCCAGCACGTGCCGGGCTCACCCAGGGCTCAACCGCAGGGGGCGTAGGCTCAGCGGGGAGTGCATCGGCCCCCAGTCGCCTATTGATCGCCCACGGGGGCCCGATGGTTTCTCCCTCCCCCTGAGCCGGTTCCCCCCTCACGTTCTCCTCCTCCTCCTCCCTCCTTTCTCCTCCCTCCCTCCTCCTCCTCCTCCTCCTCCTCCTCCTCCTCCTCCTCCTCCTCCTCCTCCTCCCTCTCCTCCTCCTCCTCCTCCTCCTCTTCGGTCCTCGATCCTCCTCCTCCTCCTCCTCCTCCTCCTCCTCCTGCTCCTCCTCTCCTCCTCCTGCTTCCTCCTCCTCCTCCTACCTCCTCCTCCTCTTCCTCCTCCTCTTCCCCCCCCCCAGAGGCCCAGCCGCTCGGCCCCCTGACGTTCCCCCCCTCATCGGGGTGCGTCGCCCAATTGCGCAGACGCCCCCTCGCGGCGCAGAAAGATCGGCCTATAGCCGCTAGCCCGGGATCGCCCCGAGCGGCCGCCGGAGAGCCGAGTTCTGGCCCGAGTGCCAGGGAGCGCCCACAAGTCGGCGGATAGGCCTCGGGGGGGGCGCCGATCGGACCCCAGTCGCCCGTTCATCACCGACAGCGGCCTTCATGCCCCGCCCGGGAACATCGAGGGCCTATCGGCAGTGTGTCTGCGATTCCGGGCCGATGTCCCCTCCCCCCCCCAGCCGCACGCCTCCTCCTCTCCTCCTCCTCCTCCTCCCCGTCCTCCTCCTCCCTTCTCCTCCTCCGCCTCTTCTCCTCCTCCTCCTCCACCTTCTCCTGTCTCCTCCTCCTCCTCCTCCTTCTCCTCCTTCCTCGTCTCCTCTCCTCCTCCTCCTCCTCCTCCTCCTCCTCTTCCTCCTGCTCGTCTCCTCATCGTCCCTCCCTCGTCGTCCTCCTCTCCTCCTCCTCCTCTCGTCTCCTCCTCTCCTCCTCCTGCTTCTCCTCCTCTCTCCTCCTCCTCCTCGTCTCCTCCTCCTCCTCCTCCTCCTCTCCTCCTCTTTTTCTCCTCTTCCCCCCCCCCCCCCCCCCCCCCTGCGCCAGTCTCCCCTGTCGTTCCCCCTCCAGGGCGGGCCCCGAGTCGAGGCCGGGGCCCCGGTCTCGGGGAGGCCAGGGGCGCGCGACCGCGGAGCCGGGAACGGCGCGGAGGACGGCCAGGGGCGCGTGTACTTCCACAACGCGTCCAGCGGGGAGTCGACCTGGCGGCGCCCTGCCTCCCCCGCCCCTCTCCTCTCATCTCCTCCTCCGCCTCGCTCTCCTTCTCCTCTCCTCCTCCTCCTCCTCCTCCTCCTCCTCCTCCTCCTCCTCCTCCTCCTCCTCCTCCTCCTCCTCCTCCTCTCCGGCCGCTCCCGATCCCACCGCCAAGACCCCCTTCGCGCTGCGATACAAGAATCACCACGGGAGGGTTTGCGCTACTCTCGGCCTCCGGGGGCCCTTCCCGGGCCTCGGGCCCGTCAAAGAACGACTCGGGAGGAGAAGCCGGCCCTGGGGAAGGGGTCCAGACCTCTGGGGGTCGACGTCGTGACACGAATCGCGCCATCGGGGGTCTGGGCCCCCCGCCCGGTATCGTTCGGCCGATCCCTAGCCCCCCATCCCCCTCCCGATCCCCACCATCCCACCACCCCAGTTAGGCGGCGCCAAAAAACGGGGTCGTCGGCGCCGGCATTGCCCGCGTAAGGTCGCGCGTGCTCGCCCTCGCTTCCAATGGGCCCACAGTGGAGACCCATGCCAAGAAACACCTCCGTGGTTGCCTCCAGGGTGCCCTGGGCTTCTTGGGCCTCGATGGTCCTGCTATGGACAGCGTGACGCTCCCACGCCGAAAATGTCAACGCATGGCCTGGGGTCTCAGGGCTGGGCTTCTTGTGGAACTTCTCTTGTGGTCGAGCTCCTACTGTTGTGGAGGACGATCAATGGAGAGGAAGCATGTCGCCAACTAATTTCCAGATGTCTAGACAATGTGTTGAAACGGTTCTTTGTCTAAGCAATGTTAGTTTAACATGTTCCGGACGTTCTCCGACATTTTAAGCACATGCTTAATTCGACGACAGGACTGTTAGGGTGTCCATTGTCGTGGCATCCACAATCTTGCTGTGGAGATCGGTGCCGCGGTGCTCCCCCGCCCCTCTCGGCTGCCTCCGCTCCGCGCCCCCCCTCCGCTCTCTCGCTGCGCTCCCGTGCGCCCGCCGCCCGCTCCGCGCCTGCCTCCCCCCCCCCCCCTCGCGCCACCTGCTGCCCCGCTCCCGCCTCCTCCTCCTCCTCCTCCTCCTCCTCCTCCTCCTCCTCCGCCTCCTCCTCCTCCTTTTCCTCCTCCTCGCTCTCCTCGCTCTCCTCCTCCTCCGCCTCATCCTCCTCCTCTTCTTCCTCCGCCTCGCTCTCCTCCTCCTCCTCCTCCTCCTCCTCCTCCTCCTCCTCCTCCTCCTGCTCTTCCTCCTCCTCCGCCTCCTCCTTCTCCCCGGCCGCTCCCGGTCCCACCTCCAAGACCCCCTTCGCGCTGCGATAACAAAAATCACAATATTTTTGGCCTCCAGGAGACCCTTCCCGGGCCTCGGGGCCGTCAAAAAGCGGGTCAGGACAGGATGAAAAACGGGCCACGACGAATTTGTTTCTCGCTATACTGAGGTTTTTCGCCGCTTTCGGCCTCCTGGGGCCCGCATTGCACCTCGGGACCGTCACGCAACGACTCGGGAGGAGAAGCCGGCCCCGGGGAAGGGGCCCCGACCGCCGGGGGCCAACGTTGTCTTGGCATCGCTCGGACGTGTGCATGTTTTCTCGGCGAGGACCATCGAGGAGCATCGGGCCGAAAAAAACACGCACGAAACCCAAAAATGCACGGGGAATGGACGTCCGAGCGACGGCAAGTTGTGCACACAAGGCACGACGTCGGGCTCCCCTCCCCGTGGCGCCTCGGGCTCCCGCCGCCGCCCCGCCGTCGCCCAGCCCCGAGCCTCCAGGCCTCCCTGGCGGGGTCGGAGGAGCGCTCCGCATCGCCGCCGCGTCGGCGCTGCGGCTCGGTGAGGAGCCCGACGTTCTTCACGCCGGCGCCGCCGACGCGTCGCGGATGCATCGTCGTCGTCGATGTCTCGGTGATGCATCGGCGATGCGGCGCGATCCTCCGACCCCATCCTGCTCGGACCCAATTGGGAGGCCTCCAGGTCAGTCGCTGTTCGCGCGGTGTCGACACGTGCCTCCCGTAACTTATTCTCTGGCCGCCCGAGCATGTCGGGGAGACGTGAGACCCGAGTTCGTCGGCACTCGGGCCTCTTGACGCGTTCTGACGAGCCCGTCATGGATTTTGACCGTCTGGTTGTCGTGGGATGTTCGCAGTGGGAGCTTGGGTCAAATTTCGGACTGGGTCTCGCCATTGTCCTGACGGCCTCGGCAGGCCATCCCGCGACCCCCGAGTCCGATTC